AATATATTGTTATATTATTATTGTATTCAGTTACAATCTTTGACTATTAATGAAAATTTAATTATAATTTTAATTATGAAAAAATAGATTCTGTGCCACCTTTCTAAGTGGATACTATTGAAAGCAATTCTCACRGTTTAGGTAAAAATAGGAATTTTCGACTATTTGATTGTGTAAGTTCAAGTAAATGGTGAAAAAAGTGTATTTAAACCTAAAAACATTAATATAACTTTATTTGAGCAAATTCCCAGAAATAAATCATCTGAACATTCAAATAAAACATTTAAAAATAGACAAAATGATCAAAATAAATCAAGGCAATCCACTAATGGTTTATTGGCGTTAAACAGCAACAAGATAGACAATATCATAGATACATGCAGATACTCATTCTTGTTGTGAAATGTGCTTTGACATCAGAACAGACCTAAGTATGTCCCAACTCTGTCTWGATACATTAGGTACATGGCAAAAGACAAGGGAATAAAATGACAAGAGTTTTTAAAAGTGACATCAGGGTGCAAGAAATATTTTATTGTCAAACAAATCCTAATCTTGTAGCTAATCCACCTCTGAGTATYCTAACCTACACAATACCACAGTAAAAAAACAGCATCTTCATTTATAAAATATTTGCAAACCGCATCAAAGTACATTTCCCCAGACAGTTTTAGACACAGCAAACAGTTTATTTGATGAGATCTAATATAATAAAGAAAGACATGATTTTGTTTGAATTTGTTTCATGTTGGTACATCACTGGTCCCAGGTGGGCTGAGAAAACCTCTCAGTACAATAAATGCATTACGTCATTAAAAACAGACATTTCCTTTTCACTTTAAATTATTATACATAAATAAGCATTAAAATATGTTAATAATACATTCTATCAGTCTCAGTAGAGCGCTTTTATTTTGGAGGGATTGAATCCTCCTGTATTCGGGTTTCCTCCCAAAGATAAAACATGCATGTTGGGTTATTTCTAACTTTAAATCGTCCCTGTGTGAGTAGTTGTGACTGCTGGAGAGGGACACCCACTTCTCTTCAGTCCCACCTGCACAATATTTATTTATTTATTTAATTTGCRGTTTTATTAATTTAAAAAAGTATTCAGTTTTGCAGACAGAGGAAAAGGCAAAGCAGTTTACAAGATTAAAATAAGGCAAAGTAAAGTTGGAAAAAAAGAGGTGCTTAAAAAGCTTTCTCTGACACTCTGTCGGTCTTTGTCTTCAAAAAATCAAAAACTGAGCTGATCCTGGTTTAAAAAAGATGTTCTTCAGAGCAACTGGAGGATGTAAGGCAGAGAGAGTCTGGTACTGTAACTGAGACATCATCACTGATGTTAGATTACAGAGTGAGGCAACAACAACAATATTAAGTCTTTACAGGGGTATTTTGGCCATTTTTAAGCGGAGTTCAGTGAAAAAAGTACAAAAAATATCTTACCTGTTGCGAATGGCTCTTAGAGTTTCACCAAACGGTGCTCATTCAGTCAGGATGCAGCMAAGACCAAAACATTTCTGAGTGGTTTATGTAAACACTTACTGTGTTGAATTCCACAGTACARTTATTTACACAGAATTCKGTGGTTATTTGTCAAAGAAAAGCAGCAGCAAGTGGGAACATTTCTGGTTCACCCAGCTTAGATTCTGTCAGAAAGTTAAACAATGTTTTTGGGGCAAAAATAACTGTACTGCAAAGCTGAGAGAAATGTAAAAGTCAAAATAATAATACTTTTTGAATGAGCCGATTAAACATTTTAAAGAGTGGGATCGTTTTTAAGATGGTAAAATCTACTTTGAARGCAGGTCCACTCAGACAAGTGGTTTGTCAATATTTAATAAGAGGTCCAACATGGTTATTTTGGCTGAATTATTCTGAAACTCTTGTTAGAATTTTTCTCACGATAACCAGAAGCATTACCTCTCACTGGGGCTGCATTTGTTTGTAAGTAAACACGTATTTCTTTGTCATTAATAGAGAAGTGCAAAGTCTGTGAAATAGTATTTGTGTAAATGGCCATGAAATCTTGAAGACTCAAGCTTTTTAAAGACACTTGCAGTTTGGCCTTGGCTGCATTTGGACTAATTTACTTTTCAGACCTAAACTGTGTGCTCCAAACTGCAGCAGGTAAGATGTTGACTGGTCACAACTTTTCCACATAGCCCCATTTCAAAATAGCTGATATATATTTTTTGAAACAAGACAGGATAGTGTTTAACAAATCTAAAACTAAAAGTCTACAAATGATGCTGTATGGCTGCAGTGATTAGAGGTCACAAGCTGTACAAAACCTCAAGATAAAAAAAACAAAACCAGGATTTCTTTAGATTTGTTTTTCTCCTTGTTGAGTAGTGTCATTTGTTTATGGAAAATAGTTTTGCTTTCACTTTAACTAAAAAAAACACACACAGGCATGGAAAGCACCAACATTTTTTGCAACATTTCTAATTCTATTGTTTAAAGCTAATAGAAAAACAACTTAGATAATAAAATGTGTACAGAACTAATTCAGCTCCACAGCATTTAGGCTTAGTTTTATTCCTGAAGCTCCATTCTAAGCATCTGTATGCATCTGTTTTTAGGGGAAATAAATGGATAACCACCAAGTGGTTTTATTTTAATTCACCAGATGAATAATGCTACAGATAGCAATTAGCCCCTGTAGTTGTAAATATATATATATAGATCTTTATTTATTTTAAAAAATTGAAACAATCTGTGCAAACCTGTTCACTCCTAAGATAATCTGATATTTTAATAACTTTTTAATTTTACGACTAAATTATTTAATCATTTTAAGCTCTTATTTTAGATTTTGAGCACTATAAGGCAACGTAGAACTTAATAACTTGTGCTCTAATTTTAAAGTGTGCCACTTGCATCTTCAAGGATTTCAGCTCAACAGTCATGTGACTCGTGCTTCCAGGAATGATAACTCTGAGCGCTGTGAAGCTGATTATTCATACTGGAAATGTGACAAAATGTTATGTTGTAATGTTCATAAAATACACAAAAAGTCTTCCAAACTCTGCTGATCACCCTCAAACTGAAGCTCCTGCTGACCATCTTACAAACTCAAAACAAAACACCAAGAAATTCCTGCATCTGTACACAACTGTGCAAATACTAATATAAAACAAAGCTTTACACATTGATATCAGCTACTCTCCCTTTGAGTTATACCCCAGTGTGGAGATACATGGAGAAAGCTCTTTTCAGGAGGACCATTTGGACGGAGTCATGGAGGGGGTCTTCACTGTAAAAGGTGCATGTGAATCCCACAGGAAGGGAAGGTGGCAACTATGAACATCCAACTTTTATAAAGATTTGAGTCACATTAGGCTGCAGGCTGAGTTTGGCACCACTTCCTCTGGGGGGTTCAAATCTGAGCCTTCAGTGAAGCTAATGGCTTCTTCCTCTTAAATACATCCATTAAATAAATACAAACATTTATGGCAGAATAATCGTCCGTGTAGTGTTTTAGTTTTTTGGTCAAGTGGGCTGAGGATGGAAAGATGTGTCACATCTATAGATGAGCCGAGTAGTGATCAATCCACGTCTATAAGGGAGGAATTCTGATATGGACAAATAAAAGAAAATTAATTTTTTTCCAGCAAAATAATTTTTTAAAAACAGCTTTGCTGATCAAAAGCCAGCCATGTTTTTCCTGTTGAAGATGCAAAGCCTTACCAGCTGGCTTTAGCATGGTTTCCTGGGCGTGAACGGGGTTGTGGTGGGCTCTGGTCGGTCGACGAGGGGCTGGTGCAGTTGTCCTGGTTGTGGTTGTCTTGAGCTGCGAGCCTCTTACCCTGCTCCTCCTTCATGAAGACCTCCACCATGAGGATCTTCTCCTTGTGGATCTGGAGGCTGATGTCCTTGGGGATGTCTGGGATTAGCCAGTCCACAAAGTCGCTCATAAGCATCACCACGTTCTGTAAAGGGGCAGAWTAATAATAAAAAAAGACCCCCGACTGATGGGAAGGTTTCTGGACTATTTTTTTTATTTTTACCTCATATTATAAAGTAAATCAGTAAAGTCCTAAAGCAAACCAGWGGAAGTCATATTAAGCACAAAATGAAAAATTCAAATAAGCTTTGAATTATGTTCAAATTCTAAAAGGTCAACACATTTTGTACAAAAATCACAACTGTTATTATTTAAGCTCAATCTTCAGATTATTRTGCTTTTAAAATAATGCCATATTCAACCAAATCTTAAAATTACAAAATGAAAAGTGTTTTGTTCTTCTTTTTTTTTTTTTTTTGTCAATTTTGGCCATACGATTCTAAATAAAAATGGCCAAATGTCAACCACAAGTCATAAAACGGAAGAAGTTGTGGCAATTTCTTCAGAATATTACACCAAGCTGCCTGTGGCCAAAGCTGAGCAGGAATCATGAGATGGTTTTCAAAATGTTTCAAACCCATTCACAACGATTCTCAGCTGCTTCATGTGAAACAAAAATACTTCACTCTCATGTCACAGGACTGTTGAATATGATTAAAATATTTATGAAACTATTTTTTATTTATTTATTTATTTTTTTTAAATCAGTGGTTACAAGTGTCTGGAAACTAATGCTTCATTAGTTTTCATGAGTCAGAAAGTGTGAGAACTGATGTTTGGCATCAAATACAACCAAACTGTGACTGAGTGGAGATAAAAAAAAACTTGCAACAGTGCAGCAGTTCAGTTTTTGTTGTGTCTCAGCTTATGATAGCTAGTTGGCAGCAGTCAGCCAGCCATTTGGCTCCTCCACCAAGGGGGGGTCTATTTAAAAAAAATTGGGGGGAGGTGGGGGTGGGGGTTAGGCAGGGGCACAGACTGAAGAAGGGTGGCACATATTTTTTTTTTATTGTGGCCATGTGTTGTCGCATGGCCATGAGATAATTTATTCTATTCAACGTCACTGGACAGGCACCGTAAATTTGTCTTCAGTCTTATTTTGTGGTCTTTATTTTCAGTTGGTAAATAACCTAACAGAGCATCACCACCAGCAGCTGAAACGCTGATCAATGTGCACTACAAACAATGTGACTGACAGCTCTGGTGGGGGTGGCCAGGCATGGTGGCCAATAAGTCTTCAACAGTAGGCGGTGCCCCACCCCAGCCACTCCTGTGGACACCTCCTGTCCTCCACTCCTGAGGAGCTTGTGAGTATAATGCCAACTTAAATGTTAGTCAAATGTTAGTCTGAGATGAGTTAAAAAAATCAGAATTTTTTGAAAAAGCAATATATGGCCATATTTCATACCTTTGTCATGATATGAGTCATGCACAGCCCTTCTGGATAGATGGATGAATGTGATTAAATGTTGAGCAAATGTTCCAGTTTACTCTCAGTTCTGTATGTACAATCATCTTAATGTAGGGGATGATTGCGATGCTAGTTACTGTAACAAACTGAGCTACATATTTTTGATCTAAGAGGACTTGAATGTAAAAAAAACAAGAAATATTCTGTAATGGATCGTGTTGGAGAACTCTACGTTAACATGAACACAATTATCCAAATGTTCCACATAGAGACTATAAATCCATCAAATATATCTGAGTTGTTTGCTTTTCCGTCATAAAATATGAATGACATGAGTGAGTGAGCGAGTGATGGGCTTGTTTGAAATCATGAAAGTATGCAGCGTGTCTGTGTGTTGCTCCAAACCTGAAACACAATAACAAAAGCAAGGCGAACAGCGAGGATGGCCCAGAACTCTTTGGATAGTTCATACGGCGTGCTGGACCACGGGGGCTCTCTGTAGTCCTTATATCTATAAAGACAAAGAAACACACATTTRTTAGGAGTTCATACCAAGTTTGAAATATTTAAACTCTGTATACTCAATATTTTTTGCAGAATCCACCAAACCTTACCTGCAGATTTCCACATTGTAGCCCAGATGCATCGGTGCTAAAGGGGCTGTGCCGGCCTGAAAGTCGCTCACGTTAAAATATGACAGAGTGTGGTTAATAAAGCCATGCATGGTCCCGTCAGGACTGTACGTGTACTGRTAGACCAGTCGGGGGATGAAGTCTGAGGTGAAAGCGATGACAAAWGCCTGGTGAAAAGAACAGGTGACTGTAAACACATTCATTCTTAGTCAAGTTTTTAACATTTAAATAACATTTAACTAATAAATAGCTCCAGTTAATCAGTGCAAACCAGCAGATAATTGTTTCTGTTTTCKCAAACACTTATCTGTGAAACCTCAGACATGACTGTGTTTGATTTCCATTTGAAGAGCCAAATATAATTATAAACTATAATGAAACTGAAAGACTTTCCTGTCACATAAACACTTTCATATTGTAGTGGTCACCTCAAGTAATAATTTCAAATAATTTCCTTAAAATTTTGTTATAAGAAATGTAGTTAAATCCCTACAATATTTATAGATAAAATAAGACTTACGTTAACAATAACTGCCACCTTGCTGAGCCCCCTCAAGAGGTTGTACCAGATACCTGTGGAGGATTAAAAGAGACATTTRGATGCAAACAGTAAGCAGGGAATGGATTAGTGAGCACAATAAACCACTAGATGGCAGAATAATTCTTTACATCAGATTGGGAGAAAAACCGAATCAATCAATGTTACAGGTGGGCTGTTAGTGGTGTAAGACTCTCCTTTTTTACTAATTACCAATTCTTTAATAACCCTCCCTAAAAATATATAATCCAAATTCACAATCATTTTTTGTTTATTTTCATCTTCTTTAGGCAACAAATTGAGCTACAAAAATATCATCTATGAAAACATCAGCTTTATATTATGCTAATAGAAGAACAATGGAGTGTTAAGCATAGGTCTTTCAATACAAAACCATTATATTGTGTGTCCACTGTATTAAAGGAGCATGGTCAAACTGGTATTCCTCAATATTTAAATTTTTAAAATAATTGTCTGCCAATGTTTCCATGAAAATATTTCATCAATAACTTGTCAATTTTATTTTGAAGGGAAAAAAGTTCAATTTAAAGTTGTCTAGTTTTATGTTTTATGCTTTGGATGATGGACTCATTACTATTCACACATTGGACAACACTAACTGTATACCCACAAGACTGATAACAACATAAGGCAAAGCCACACAATTAAAAAGCCAAAATAACCATTCAAAAATAATCATTACAACAACCCTCAGTTTGCTCAGAGGACCTATTTTCTTCTGGTGTAAATCTTGGTTTTACTCTGAAAGTATTTCAGGACACAGAAACTGTAACATTAATCCTTTGATTTGTCTGATCCTCAGTTTTTAAATGAATGTCCAGGAAACATACCAATGTCTTTGGCTTTGGCTGCGAGGGGTCTGCGCAGCTCCATAACAAACTTCTTCGCATCCAGACGAATTTCAATGATGTTATTGAGCAGAGCGAAGAGAGGAGCCAGAGGGAAGGAGGCCACAAAGAGAGTCACCATGCCAAACTGAATGACTGGAGACGAGAAAAAAGCAAAAAGACAGTTTTAGAGTTTAAAAAAAGTATTTTATATATCAGACATGATTGTACAAAAAGCCTTACATGTACAAATCATATTCTAAATGTTCATTAAAAAAGTAAAATCACCAAATACACKCATTTATTTTTACTGCAGTATCACTGCAGCACACAAAGCAGCTTAAATGCCTGACTTTAATCTCATACACTAATTCATTATATGCAACTGTGCCAAACCTACAATTATCAAAATGGAAAAACTACTTAGTTTCCGAAGCGTTTCAGTTTAGCTGAGCCGACAGAACATTTCCTGATTTTCTGGTTGAGAAGTCACAGATGGGAACTGCAGAGACTGAATGTTATTGGTAAAAAAAAGCTGAATTCAGTTTATTTTTCATTCTTAGTAACTTATGAACACAAACTTACAAAAGTAAAATAATAATAATAATAATAATAATAATAATAATAATAATAGTTTTAATTGTAAAGAGTAAAATCTTTATTTTCTATTCATGTTTCCAGCAGACGGAGCATCATTAGACCAGGGGAGGCAAAGTCTGATTCATTATCTGTAGTTGGATTTTGAGCCCATTTAAAGACAGTTTAAACAACAGGACCTGTTAGTCGTTAAAAACTAGTGTAGCCTCATTATGTTACCTTTACTGCTGTTGTCACTGAGCTAATTAAAACAACTCTGTTTTCAGAAAGCAGTTTCCTGCTCGAAAAGACATAACTGGATGTTTGCAGTCACCTTGGTCTGGTTTGTTCTTCTGTTTGTTAAAYAAATGTTATGTTTACTATAATCATCTGTTCTTTTTCTTTACACGCTTCTTTCTAGGTTGTGTGCAGCTGGTTCCTT